CCAAGAGTCTTCCAAGAAGCCAAAGAGACAGCCAGACGGAGAGGCGAATGGGACTTCCAACTCCAACAGCAGGTCCTACGGTGAGTTTGCACAGACAAGGGGCGCAGAATGTGGATGGCAGGCTGAGCTGTGAATATTTTGAGGTATTTGGATACTACGTTGCTTATCCGTATGTTGATAATGGAGAATCGCCACCAGGGTTTTGGTCTGGATGTTTTCTGATGTGGGTTACTGGTACCCAGTAAGGAAGAAGAATAGATATAATGGAGGAAAATGCCTGCTGGTAGATTAAATGATAGGTGCCGAGTTCTAGGAGGACAGAGGAGACTGGAAATACCCTGTAAGACTGGGGAATTCATCCACTAAGAGGCTGGTGAGAGAAAACATGGGCCCCACTGAATTGGGGCTGGATATGTGTGAATATTCTGCAAGTAGTTTATTTAACTTGACAGTTCAGTAATGCTTCACTTATATGGGTATAACCAAAAGTCAGAAAAGAAATAAAAATTTTGTGAGTAGTCAAAACGAATATTTCAGTGTTTGCGTTCTTTGGTTTTAGAACAGCCTCTGGACTCTCAGTTCAGCTCTATCTCTTCTTCCTGTGCATATAATTCTGAGAAGTGCAGTCATCTGATCGCTGGCCAAATAGGTCAAAAACAGCAAGTAAGTCAGGAGAGGAGGGCAGGCAAACGGACGGCTAAGAGGAAACAGCTGGCAGCCTATGTTGCAATAGTAACTATTAAAAAGTGAACATACACACCCTGGTACCTCCAGGGCCCCAGCTGCCCAGCCTTTCCCCAGGATCTCCCAATCTCTTTATAATCCATCAACTAAAGGGTTAACTCCTGGCAGAGCAGGGGCTTCCGGACCCTGTCTTAGCACGAAGTCTCATTTCTGTTCTGATTGGTCCTGCCCTGGCCTTATGCATGTTAATAATTGGCTCTCACCCGTGAACATAGGTGTACATTGCTTTAATATTTGAGCAATTGAATCCCCCCCTCGATATAAAATAAGAAATCCAAAAGTATAACAGTTAGGGTTGTTTCACATAGGGAGAAGAATCTATAATTATAGGCCCAGCGGGCGTCAACATATTACAATGCAGGATAACAACTGATATGTATATTAGTGGGTCTCAGTCATTAAAAAAAGTTTAACTGGGACTTCCCTGGCGGTCCAGTGGTTAAGACTCCACGCTTCCACCGCAGGGGGTGCAGGTTCAATCCTGCTCGGGGAACTAAGATCCCGCATGCCTCGTGGTGCAGCTAAAAAAATAGATACATATTAAAAAAAAAAGTTTAATTGCATTCAGCTTCATCTATTTAAGAAAGCAGGCAAGAGCACAGTATACTTTATTTTTTAAATATTAAAACAATTTTAAGTTTTATATTGGAGTATAGTTGATTAATAATGTTGTGTTAGTTTCAGGTGTACAGCAAAGTGATTCAGTTTATACATATACATGTATCTATTCTTTTTCAAATTCTTTTCCCATTTAGCTTATTATAGAATATTGAGCAGAGTTCCCTGGGTCCACTTTAGAAGTTTTAATCCAAAGTGGACTAAACGTCTTGGCGCTTAAATAGAATTGAGCCTTTACTCATCTAGACAACTAACTTGTCCAGAATGACTCAGTCTTCAGGACGCCAGAGCTGGAACTCCTGAATGAAACAGAACAATGGCCTGTCTGTATTACTTAGGGTCAAAATGTGCATATTCTCACGTAGCCAGATTTTTTAAAAAAATTATTTATTTATTGTTTGGCTGCATTGGGTCTTCGTTGCTGCATGTGGGCTTTCTCTAGTCGAGGTGAGCGGGGGCTACTCTTCGTTGCGGTGCGTAGGCTTCTCATTGCAGTGGCTTCTCTTGCTGCAGAGCACGGGCTCGAGGTGCGTGGGCTTCAGTAGTTGTGTCTCGCGGGCTCTAGAGCGCAGGCTCAGTAGTTGTGGCGCACAGGTTTAGTTGCTTCCTGGACCAGGGATAGAACCATGTCCCCTGCATTGGCAGGTGGATTGTTAACCACTGTGCCACGAGGGAAGTCCCCCAGATTCATTTTCCATGCCAGTCCTGTGTAAAGAGCATTGGCTCACCTGGGCTGACGGTGCCGCCATGCTCCCCTGGGCTTACGGTACTTCCCTGTTTATGTGGGCGGATAGTACTTCCCTGCTTACCTGGGCTGACCACACCTCGCTGCCCTCCCTTTTTCTTGGCCTCAGCGGGCCTCCATCACAGAGCTGTCGTGGCACCAGGGAAGAACAAAGCTTCCTCATTTCTGACATTGCGTTGTGATTAAAAATGGCACACTTGTCAACGTGTCTCAGACAGCCACTCAAATCATAGGCTCCAGAAAAACAAGAGTTGAGCATAAGATACATCCTCGATGAGCTGGAGATGTGGTTGGATGAAGGCAGAACAAGCACGTTCAGAGTGGAATGTGGCACAAGAGAAACAGAATCCAAGCAAACTACGTGCTTTGCAAATTGCGAGGCGGAAACTCATGTTCAAAGTCAATGGAGAATTTTAGGGTTGAAGAACACAGGGAGTTAGAAAGTAGGCAACAAAAGTGTCTGATTCGGGCTTCCCTGGTGGCGCAGTGGTTGAGAGTCCGCCTGCCGATGCAGGGGACACGGGTTCGTGCCCCGGTCCGGGAAGATCCCACGTGCCGTGGAGCACCTGGGCCCGTGAGCCATGGCCGCTGAGCCTGCGCGTCCGGAGCCTGTGCTCCGCAACGGGAGAGGACACAACAGTGAGAGGCCCGCGTACCGCAAAACAAAAACAAAAAAAGTGTCTGATTTGGTGTGGATGAGATCCCTGGAGTATGCTACCTAGGAGAGGCAGGGGACCCCCACCACTCTCTGGCAACGTGCCTCGTTAGCAGATGGGTCTTGACTAGTCTGATTGCTGTATTAACTTAATCACTCACTCTAACAACTTATTCTCAGCATTAGCTGCATAGATTACCAGCCAGCCCTGGCTCTTCCTGAGCCAAAGATACGGAGAAACCAGGGCAAAACTGCAGGTCTGGTGGAGGCCTGTGTTGCAGTAGGGCTCCATGGGAGGGCTGCTAACATTCCAGATGCACTCACTGCGAGGATTCTGTGGGGCAATGAAAGCACCAGGGTTCTCCTGGGCATCCCAAAGCATTGACCTCAGGACCGCACTTCCCGTGAGAGCCCAGGAACCATTGGAAGTGGCTGTGTGGGTCCAGGAGCCCTCCTTTCTCCGAGCGTCTGTTCCCCGTCTCCTCTCCCCACGGCCCCTTCTTGTCTCCCTCTCTCTGCAGTTTCCCCTGCCTCATGGCTCGGGCTTACTCAGAGTTCCTTCTCACCCCAGCAAACCTCCCTGTCTTCCCCACATCGTGATCCTTCTGCTTCCCTCTGCAGTTCCCTAATTCTTTGTGTCATTCTCAAGAAAAAAATTCAGATGTCTCAGTTTCTGTTTTCTGAGCAGGATGTCGGGGCTCCCTGGTGCATCTAAAAGGTCCTAAAGGTTGATGCCCATCTTGCTGTCCTCAGCAGAGCTGGCGTCTCACAAGGTGGCCCTTTAAGCCAGACCGAGGCCCAGCGGGCAGGGATCTGACTTTCTTAGCAAAGACTGGAGAGTGGGTTTCCTATTTCTGAAATCATGGGAAGCAGTTCCATGAGTTGGAGATCGAGTCCTTCATTCTCACCTCTAGTTCCCTTACAAACAGGCTGGGTGACAACGATCTCATTTCCTTTCTCCGTAAAATGAGAAAGGAAATGATACACACCAGGTGCTAAACCAGGTGCTACTTACACACAGGTTTGTTATTGAATCTTCGGGAGGAGGTACTATCATTAAATCCTATTAAACTGGGGAAACGGAGGCACAGAGCAGTTGAGTAACTTGCCCAAGGTCACACAGCTAGTAAGTGGCAGAGCAGGGATCTGAACCCTGTGGGTCTGGCTGCAGAATCCTTGCTCTTTACCATGGTTAATTCATGCGACTGTCATGCCATTCATTCATTAATTCATACCACATTGCCATTCCATCAACCCTCAGACTCCAGCAAAAAGTGGGCCATGAGATAAAAGAGGCTGCAGAGGGCGTTAGCTCTGTTCTGCAGAACAAGATGGTCCTTCGTTTCTGGCCAGGAACGCTGCTGCCCTTCACCTGTGCCCTCTCTGAAGGGCATGGGAAGAGCTGGCCTGTCAGCAGGTATAAACTCAAAAGTTCCTCCCTCAGCTAATTTCAAGGACTGTTTACCTAAGTGAACGCAGGAGGATTAGGCAATCCACTGATCTGACGTGCTGGGTGGGTTTGGGTGTGACCAAGCGCACTGCGGCTGTCAGAACAAATCCATCCCACGGAGAATATCGGACGCCTGTAGCAGCTCGGACAGCCCAGGACACGTGTTGGGATGTGACTCGTGAGCTGGGGCTAGGGGTCCACCAGTGATTTAAGAATTAGGATGAGAACAGGACTGCTGCCAGTTGGATTCTCCACTTTATGCCCAATACGTGGGACCCAGGCCATCTCTCTCACCGTCTGGCTGAGGGCAGCCCTGAGTCTGCATGAGTGGCAGGTGTTGATTGCTGAGACAGGCAGGAAATACCCCTCGGCATCCGGCTGGCATTTTCAGACACCCATGATGCCCCTCACCAGCTCCCTGGGCCCCCCTTGCCAGGAGCAAGGGCACAGGAAATGCCGTTGTTCTGGGAATGCGTCTCCATCCTGCTTCTCTCTGCCTTGGGCCCTTCCCTGGCCTGTAGTCGCTCGTCCACAAAGGCTGCCCTGTGGGACCCTGTGGGACCCTGTGAGTGAGTTTTCATAAATCAGACAGTGAACAACCAAACCCCTGGGTAAGTGGACACGTCACGGCTGATGCCAGGGCTGTTGAGACAGGTGCACACCACCTGGCTGAGTGAAGCCGGTGAGAAGGCCGTGCTGTTTATCAGTGGGTACAGCAAAGTGTGGATCAGCTGACCACACTCGGTAAATTGTTATTTACAGTTTCTGAACTTTTAAAAGAAGAGCTTCCCCAGAATCGGCCCTGATTCCAGACCCACAGCGTCATGACAGCTCTGGTCACACTGCTGTCCCTGCTCCTGCTGGGACCCCAGGCCCAGCACGGGGCCGAGTGGACCTACTCAGGTAAGGCCCACCCCAAGGGCTGCACGCCCCCTTTCTGCCATCACGTCAAGGAAGGGGGCACCCACTTCTCGAGGACGAAGCCTGGCCTTTCGGGGCGACCATGCCTGATGATTGCGTACGGTGCTTGCTGGGGTCTCAAGGTCTTGGGCTGGGGCAAGAGCATACTGGACTTAGACCTCGGCTAAGGAGCGGAGGGCAGAACTCTCCCCGTTCCCGGATCCCTGAGCCACCCGCAGAGTTTCTGCTTTGCTGCCCCAGAAGCTGGCTCGAGAGCCCACTTAGTGCTTACGAGGGCAAAGCCATTTGCTTTCTTGGTCTGTGTAGACAGAAAGTAAAGCCGCTGCAGGGGGCTCCCTGCAGCCCCACCGAGGGTGTGTGGGGTTTGCCAGCACTTTCTTCCCGGAAATTTCATGATACACGGTCTATCCAGAGCGTCTCGACGTGCCGAGAACCCAGTGACCATTGCATGGCCTCCAGGCTGGCCTCTCTTGGTCGCCGTGGCCGTGCTGAGACCCAGTCTCACATCCAGAACCCCACTTACAGGACGTGAAGTGGAAAACCCTGGCGTTTAGCACAGGTCCCGGCCCACGTGTGGACCAAAGAGAGGAAGACAGTGGGGTTCAGACACTAAACACCCCTTCTGTGTGGCAGGGGAGAGAGTGCCTACCTGGTCCCCCTCTTTTCTGTCCTGGATGGAGGCATGGGGCCGGAGGGGATGCTCGTGGCCGCTGGCTGATGCAGGAGCCAGGAGCAAGCAGGGTTTTGAGGCTGCTCTCTGCACAGTCTGCCCTGGCCGCAGATACAGGGTGAAGCGTCCTCCCAGGGTGCATGTGTGTCCTGTAAGTTAAGGGCAGCAGAGTTAGGAGCATCGTGGCAAGGCTCAGGAAGTCCAGCTTCAGAGGGCGGGACAGCTGACTCTGCCCAACTGCTCTGTCTGGACCAGAGGATTCCCCTACCTGGCCCAGTGCCACGAGACCCCGGGGCTTCTGCTCAGTCAGGCCCATTGGTATTGGGTGTGGTTCGAGGGTAAGGAAGAGAGAGGATTCCGACAGTGGAGTCTGTCCTCCCCAGCTCAACACAGCCTCTGAGACGGGGCCCAGGAGAACTCGGGCAGCAGCTGCTGCGAATGCCTGTCGGGGATACTTGAGAAACACCAATGCTGTTAAAAAACCTTTTGATCCATGAAGGGGCTTTGTTCAAGACGTCTGGCCTTGCTCCTGGCACCTGCCCCTAGGAAAGAATTGTCTACAGATTGGTTTGTATTATTAAACAGTGAAGAGAGGAACAGAGAAAAAAAAGAATTGCCTTTTTATTGAACTGAAAAGCTGTGAGAGGCCTAAGTACAAACATCTTCCTCAAAACAAGCTATGGGTGACGCTGTCCCCTAAGGGGGAAAGAGAGCTGGCTTCCCTATTGCAAATGGATGAGACCAGGACCCACAGTTGTTTGGAGGCCGAGTCACCCATTATAATGACTTGCTTTATCACCCTCTCTCCTCTCTTCTGTCATTAGTAACTACCTGAAAAAAGGTAAATTTCCTTATTTTGATATTCTTTTCAACTAATCATTCTAGGTCATCCTTGAACCCAATGCTTCCTTTCTTGTCCTGAATCCATAAGTGTAGGCACCCAGGTGGTCTTTACCATATTGGGAACCAGTTAAAGGGGAGGGGTCAAGCAAGGAGGTGGGGAGGTCCTGCCGTAGGGCATAGGGCGTGGAGTGGGCCATGGTATTGTTGGGGGCTGGGAAAGAGAAACTGCCATTCAGAAGAAGTGAGGAAAAGGCCCTGAGAGTAACACAGGCAATGCCAAGCCCAAGTAGCCCCCGAGTGCATTTGTCAGCCGACAGTCACGTAAAGGGAAAACCAAAGCTATGTATTAAAGACATCCATTGCTTTCAAAACACGAAGGCATGTTCTCAGGGCCAGTGGGTGCAACAGGAAAGTTACGAACCAGCCCCAAAGCCCCCCAGACACCAGGGTCCGTGGAGCTGATTTAGGTGCCCCTCCCACCTCCTTCTGGAGGCCTGGCCCTGCTTTCTAGAAGACAGGCCTCTGGTCTTGACTGTGGCCTCTGCAGGCCTCCTGTTGAGCGGGCCCTGAGTGAGTGCCCACAGGGAGCCCCTTGCACTGTGACCCCCTGGACTCTCTCCTGTGTCAGGTGGGGTGCTGGATGAAGCACACTGGCCGAGGGAGTACCCCGACTGCGGGGGGAAGAGACAGTCGCCCATCGACCTGCAGAGGGAGAAAGTGTGGTACAACCCTTCCCTGAGGGCTCTGAACCTGTCAGGCTACGAGGTCCAGCACGGGGCGTTCCTTATGATCAACAATGGCCACACAGGTAAGGGCGGGCGACAGGCTCCCGTCCCCGCGCGGGCATCGGGGGGAGGCAGGCAGGCAAGGCTGCCAGGAGCTGTATGCTCAGAGATCCAGAGTGTGGCCTGGGGGCTGCAGGCCTCAGACTCGGGGCAGACCGGTGTCGAGCCCTGGTACTTCGTCCCTGGTTGGGCAGCATCCGTCTATAGACTCGGTTCCCCACTGGCCCCTTCGTCCTGCACGGGCCTCTCTCTGAGCTCACTCTGACCCAACCAGCAGGAAATTCAGCGGACAGAGAGGCAACACCTAGAAGCCACATGACCCACTGTCTGTTCTGCTGATCTGTGCCCAGGTCTGATCTGCCATATTTTCTATGTGGGAAGGTCAGACAGGAAAAGCTGGTTTTGGGGGCCTCCATTCCGGAAGCCTAGACTGGACAACCATCAAATCCTGCTTAACGTTTGCAGACATCCTTCTGATGTTTTTCAAGTGGGCTCGTCTCCTCTGAGCCTCATGGCAAGCCCAGAGGGGGGCATTTTTAAAGCTGAAACCAGAGGCTTTGGGAGGCCAAGGGACTTATGGTCACACAGTCTCTAGTGGCCGAGCTGGATCCAGGCCCCGGATGTCTGATTCCTCGGTCATGTCCTCCTTGGAAACTTCCCTCTCCACTCCCACCTGGGTTGGGACAGTTTACTGTCCATTCGCACAGGTGTATGGGGGGGCGGTCATAGGACTCAGATTTCCTTTTTGCACTATTAAGAAAATAAAACCAATTGCCCTCGATGGGGCTTGTGAAGGTAGTAGCCCTCAGATCAGCTGTGATTTGGATTACTGAACTCCACACGTAGTTCGTGAAAGCCTCATTTTATCACCCGTATCACGTTCCTGTTTCCAAAGTTACTCTCTGAAGCTACCAGCAGGTTGGCAGAAGTGTACGGCCTTTTCAGATTGGCTTCTTTCACTCAGTAACATGCATTTATGCTTCCTCCGTGTCTTTTCATGAATGGATAGCTCATTTCTTTTTAGCATTGGATAATATTCCACTGTCTGGATGCCCCACAGTTCACTTATTCATTCACTTACTGAAGGACACTGTGGCTGCTTCCAAGGTTCAGCAATTATGAATAAAGCTGCTATAAACATCAATGAACACCAGTGTGTAGATTTTGGTGTGGACATAAGTTTTCTGCTCATTTGGGTAAATACCAAGGGGTGTGATTGCTGGATCATATGGGAAGAGTATGTTTAGTCTTGTAAGAAACTGTCCAACTCTCTTCCAAAGTGGCTGCACCATTTTGCATTCCCACCAGCAGTGAATGAGAGTTCCTGTTCCTCCACAACCTTGCCAGCATTTGGTGCTGTCAGTGTTCCGGACCTTGGCCATGCTATTAGGTGTGTGGGAGCACCTCATTGTTGGTTTAATTTGTATTTCCCTGATGACCTATGCTGTGGAGCGTCTTTTCCTATTTGCCATCTGTATATCTTCTTTGAAGAGGTGTCTGTTATGGTCTCTGGGTTATTTGTTTTCTTATTGTTGACTTTTAAGGATTCATTGTATATTTTGGATAGCAGTTCTTTATCAGATGTGTCTTATACAAACATTTTCTCCCAGTCTGTGGCTTGTCTTCTGATTCTTTTGATATTCTTTCCTGCAGAACAGAAGTTTTAAATGTTAATTAAGTCCAGCTTATCAATTCTTTCTTTCATGGATTGTGTCTTTGGTGTTGCATCTAAAAAGGCATCACTGTACCCAAAGTTGTCTAGGTTTTCTCCTATGTTATCTTCGAGGAATTTTATAGTTTTGCACTTTACATTTAGGTCTGTGATCCACTTTGAGTTAATTTTGGTGAAGGGTGTAAGGTCTGTGCCTAGGTTCATTTTTTTGCACGTGTATGTCCAGTTGTTCTAGCACCATTTGTTGAAGAGACTCTCTTTGCTCCATTGATAATCTTTGCTCTTTTGTCAAAGATCAGTTGAATATATTTATGAGGGTCTCTTTCTGGGCTTTCTATTCTGTTCCACTGATCTATTTGTGTATTCTCCCACCAAGACCACACTGCCTTGATTACTATACTTCTTTTTGTTTGGTCACACCATGTGGCTTGTGGGATCTTAGTTCCCGATGGAACCCGTGCCCCCTGCAGTGGAAACGCAGAGTCGTAATCGCTGGACCACCAGGGAAGTCCCTACTGTAGCTTTATAGTAAGGCTTGAAGTTGGGTAGCATCAGTCCTCCAACTTTGTTACCCTCCTTAAACATTGTGTCAGCTATTTTGGGTCTTTTGCTTCTCCATGTAAACTTTAGAGTTAGTTTGTTGATATCCACAAAATAACCTGCTGGGATTTTGACTGGGATCACATTGAATCTCTAGGTCAAATTGAGAAGAACTGACATCTTGGCAGTAGTGAGTCTTCCTATCCAGGAAAATGGAATATCTCTCCATTTATTTAGTTATTCTGTGATTTCTTTCATCAGAGTTTTTCTGTTTTCCTCATATAGATCTTATATGTAATGTGTTAGATTTATACCTAATTATTTAATTTATACCTAATAATTTAATAATTATACCTAATTATTTAATTTATACCTAATTATTTAATTATACCAAATTATTTAATTTAATTAACTTAATTATTTAATTTAATTATACCTAATTATTTAATTTAATTATTTAATTAAATTTAATTATTTAATTTAATTACTGTGCTTTTAATTTCAAATTCTACTTTTTTTAAAATTAATTTTTCTTTTTTGGCTTCATTGGGTCTTTGTTGCTGCGCGGGCTTTCTCTAGTTGAGGTGAGTGGGGGCTACTCTTCTTTGCGATGCGTAGGCTTCTCATTGCGGTGGCTTCTCTTGTTGCAGAGCACAGGCTCTAGGTGTGCGGGCTTCAGTAGTTGTGGCTCACGGGTTCTAGAGCGTAGGCTCAGTAGTTGTGGCGCATGGGCTTAGTTGCTCTGTGGCATGTGGGATCTTCCTGGACCAGGGCTCGAACCCATGTCCCCTGCAGGGATTCTTAACCACTGTGCCACCAGGGAAGCCCTAAAGCTTATTTTCAATTTCTCTATTTTGTTGTAAACAAGGGACAGTAGGTGGACCAGTACTGATTGATTGATTTTTTTTTTTTTTAATTGCCCGAAACACACATGCATAGGCTCCAGAAAAGCTTAAAGGCTGGGAGTACTGGGCCTGTAGTGTTCAAGGGGGAGGGCAACACTGTTCTCTTAATAGGTACTATCAGCCACTCCACTTATTGGGCTCATTGAAAGGAGGGATGATCTCTTATTCATCCTTCTATCCTGGTACCTGGCACAGAGCCTGACATAGATTAATGCATTTGAGGCGAAAAGACTTGTGCACGAAGGGATAAATCCCCAAATAGGCTCCATGAGCGATGCAGTATTCTGAGTAGGTTTTTTTTTTTTTTTTTTGGCTGCGTCAGGACTTAGTTACGGCGCACAGGCTCTTCGTTGAGGCACCCGGGTTTCTCTCTAGTTGTGGCTCGTGGGCTCCAGAGCGCACAGGCTCAGTAGTTGTGGCACGCAGGCTTAGTTGCTCCGCAGCATGCGGGATCTTAGTTCCCTGACCAGGGATCAGACCCACATCCCCTGTAGTGGAAGGCGGATTCTTAACCACTGTGCCACCAGGGAAGTCCCCTGAGTAGGTTTTGATCTTTGAAAGCTGCAGGAGCAAGACTGGTTCTGTCTTTGTTTTTTTAAACTTTTATTTTGAAATAGTTTTAGGCTAGAAAAATTGCAGAAATAGTACAGAGTTCCCAAATACCCTTCTCCCACTTCCCCTAATTTTATTATCTTATAGCTGGACTGTGTTGATACCACATGATGAACTACACTCTAGACCTCATTTGAATCTCATCACTTGCCCAGAATGTCCTTATCCTGGTCCAGCATCTAATCCAGGACCACACATTGCATTTTGTCATCATATCTCCTTAGTCTTCTCCAATCATGGTCAACTCCTCAGTCTTTTGTAACCTTGACGCTTTGCAGTTGTTTCTTGAGCACAGTAAATGCTCAGATCATGTGTTTTTTCTCTGGTCTGATAAGAACTTGGTTAAATTAGTTTCAAACAAAGGGGAGTAAGTTCTGCAAGTTAAATCCATTTTTTTTCAGAATCTGGAAGGTTCAGCAAGTTAATTTGTGGGAGGACAGATATTTGGCCTCACCTTTGCAAAAGCACAGTGATAAGCCCAGAATTGCCGCCATTTTTCAATCTGGCCTGTGCGATTCTATGGACACAGTTTGAGAATTGAGGCATTCTGTCTGCAGGGAATTGTGTTTCAAGGGAAACATGCTTGTCTGGATCTCTGTTATTGCTCCTGTGGTACTAACTCTCCTCAGCTCTCCAATCTCTGGGAACAGATGACTGCGTATCTCCTTTGAAAACCTCTTCCATTTTTCTCACGTGAGCAGTGATTTTTGAGGCCGGCTACAGTTTAAGCACTAAATACAAAGCACCTGTTCTGCCAAAGGGCGTGTAAGAATCTTTGAGGCTGGACTTCTGCCTTCTGTCATATTATGTTATGAATTTCATCACAGCTTCCTGCTGCTTTAGATGATTTGGAAGGGAAGAAGGGGTCATTTGACAGATATCAAGTACCTACTATCTGCTCTTTAAGAAAATTTACTTGTTTATAACCATCTTCGATGACTTTAAATAGAAAAACCTTGTTATCAGGAGAGATGCTGACTGTCCCTTTTCAAGTCCTAAATTATACCCTCATAGATATTTTTCTTGGTCATTTTCTGGGGTCACTCTCCATGTCTCCCTTTTGCCTGGGTCATTCCAAAATATAGAGATTTCTCTAAGACCTAAGCCAGTGGAATGAACAAGGCAGCTGTCTCACCAAAGTAACCTCCCTGTAGAAAGTCTGTGGGGCACAGGGCAAAAGGAAGCTGGAAGAGGGATCCATTTTCCCATCGGCAAGAACCTAACGTTTGAAAGCATCTGTTGATGATCACGTCAAATTCAATCCCAAGCCAAGAGTCTGTGTGTCCCCTGACTTGCCGCAGAATGTGGTCTTTCGTCTTCTGAAGACAAGTTGAAGCCTATAATGGTGATGTCCTGTCCAGGCCCAGTTCTGGCCCAGCTCTGCCCTGACCAATGAACTGAGTGACTCTGCAAATCTTTCTACCAAGGTTGGCTTCCTTGTCCATAAAATAAAAGTACTGAAGCCCCGCAGGGATGCTACTTTCTATGAAGTGGGATGGGTTGGTAGTTGGTCTAGTTCTAGAAGTCGATATGGGATGAAGATTTTAACCACATCATAGAGAAGATAATGACCTCAACTTGACCTTACAGAGTACTCACGCTGGGTAGTAAAGTAATCAAAATAGTCCAAGAGGCCCTACTTCCTATCCCTACCCTGTGGGCAAATTCCAAAATTGGCCAGAGGTGGAGAGCGGAATTCTGATTTCCACACTCATTAGCCCTGTTTTTTCAGGGCTCCCCCCTTCGTTAGGGCTAACAAGCTGGACCTGCCACTTGGAGGTCCTGCCCCTGACCTTCTGGTCCTGGGTGGGAAGGTGCGTGCCCTGGGACGGGTGCCTGTCCAGCCCAGCTTACTCAGTGCCTGGTCACCATCCTTCCCCATGTGCCAGGTGCCCCCTCTCTGTTGGTCACCCTGCTCATGGCAGTCTAGGCCTGTCTATAGTACCAGCTTGCCCCAGGAGTGGGCAGGTGACCAGGGAAGCTGCCTCACCTGTAGGCCTGAGCCATCCACGCCCATCTGCACACTCCCTGCCCCTCGTCTTCTCTTCCAGTACAGATCAGCCTGCCCCCCACCATGTGCATGACGGCTGCCAATGGTACCCAGTACATAGCCCAGCAGATGCACTTCCACTGGGGTGGCGCCTCCTTGGAGATCAGCGGTTCCGAGCACACCATTGACGGGATCAGATATGTGATGGAGGTACCCTGAGGATCCTCTTTCTTTCAAACCCCATGGTCACTTTTCTTATTAAAACAGCCAAAAAGGCTTTGCTGAGTCAAGTCACCCTGAGGTTGAGTTTATTTTTCATTCACTTACAACAATTCACTGGTCACTGCTATGTGCTGGGGGTTCGGGCAGGGTCCCTGACCTCACAGAAGTCACCCCAACGCAGGAGTTTACAGCCCACAGAGTGGGGCAAGCCCTCCTTAGTTTCAACCGGATTTCTACGTGGTAGATTTGCCGGTTCCCCCTCTTGCTTAGGATGACCCCAGGTTTACAGCGGCCTCCTGGGGTAAGGGGGCACATGCCCACTCTAGGGAGACCTCAGGAGAACCCAGTGGCCTCATATGATCCCTTGGACTCTGCCAGCTTCTCTGCCTGGGGGAAGGTGAATTGCCATCTCCCCAGAATACCACTCATACTCTTCGCATTCTTGGAGAACTTCTGGTCTTGATAGATCTTGTAGCCCAGAGGGAGGGACATGGTGGTCAGAGGTGTTTATGTGGGTCAGCTGAGGTGTGGGATGGAGCACCCTTTTTTATTTTCCTCCTTCCCTGAAAACCTGAAGCACTGGAGGTTTACAGGAACTGCCCTCGACTTACACTTTCTTGCTTCCACAGATTCACGTCGTTCATTACAATTCTAAATACAAGAGCTACGACCAGGCTCAGAAAGCACCGGATGGTTTGGCTGTGCTGGCAGCCCTCGTTGAGGTAAAGCTGAAACTACACATGCAGAGTTAGAAACTGGTGTCAAAACAAGGTGTTAAGTGTAGACAAAGGGTCTTCCTACTTGCCCCTCCTCATCTGTTCCTGAGCTCACACTTCTTGGAAACACTCACCCAGTGAAAGACCTACCCTTTTTCCAGTCCTTGCTCACAGTTACTGTGTTCCTTCTGTGTCACCAACCTCAAGGACATTGCATAACTTGGACGAGCTGACTTAAAAGAGCTGGGATCACAGAAGGGTCCACTTGACAAAAACTGCTCTGAGGGCAAGAGGAAGCCTGCAACCCCCTAGACAAAGCCAACATCTCTGCATTTCTCAGAAAGTCTGGAGGGTGGGATTTATGTCTAGGTAGCAAGAAGTGGTCAGTGAATCCAATCACCCCCAAACAAGTTTTATATTGGATAAAATTGTCAAAAACAACCGTATCAGTGCTCTGGAAATGGACCAAAGACAAATAACAAGGTGAGGCATTTATTTATGATAAATGGCTAGAATTTTGAGTAAGAACAATGGGAGTTTGTGGACATCTTGCCTGGGGCTGTTCGCATCCCCTTCCCCTAACTTGGTCAGCAAGGTAGTTTTATCAGGGCAGCATGGACAGGAAAACCAGCAGCTTCACTGCTTGGTACAGGGGACTAATTTGATTTGGAGTAGAACTTGAAAACCCATGCCCAGGGGGCACTGCTGGTACAAGTAGCAAACAACCGAAAAGACAGAAAACCTGCAGGTTTGATGGTCTGAGATTGCAGTCCTAGTTGAGGTGAGTGGCAAGTGGCAGACCAATCAGAAATGTAACTGGGAGATGAGCCATAGGAAGGCTGTATAAGCTTCCCAAGAAACCCTGATGGAAAGTAAAGGCTGAGGCTGACTTAGTAACTGGCTGAGCTTTGAATGTGCTTCTCAACCCACATACAGATCCATCAGCAGAGGGTGCAAATCTTGGGCTCATGGGGTTTGAGCGCAACCTCTGCAAAAATCATTGGCCACAAGACTATGTTGACCCTAGATGGCCCCAGGCTAAAAATTAAAAATAAGACTTAAGACCTAAGCAGGCTCATCAGCTGCTATATACTGTTGTGAGACATATCCTGCAGAGGAAGTCCAGGCAAGTCACTAAACAGTCACATGAACAACAACAAAAACCCCTCAGGACAATTTTTAAAAATCAGAATTCAGGGGCTTCCCTGGCGGCGCAGTGGTTGGGGGTCTGCCTGCGATGCAGGTGACGCGGGTTCGTGCCCCGGTCCGGGAAGATCCCACATGCCGCGGAGTGGCTGGGCCCATGAGCCATGGCCGCTGAGCCTGCGCGTCCGGAGACTGTGCTCCGCAACGGGAGAGGCCACAACAGTGAGAGGCCCGCATACTGCAAAAAAAAAAAAAAAAAAAAAAAAATCAGAATTCAGATTTGCTGCCATGTATTATCTAAAATGTCCAGATATCAAAGAAAAAGTTGGGCATGCAAAGAAATAGGAAAATGTGATCCATATTTAGGAGAAAAAATAAAGCAGTCAATATAAACTGACTCTGAGTAGACCAAGAGTGATTTAGCAGACAGTACTTTCTTTATTATTATTATTATTTTATTGTTTGGCTACTCCACATGGCTTGTGGGATCTTAGTTCCCTGACCAGGGATCAAACCCTGGCCCTCAGCAGTGAAAGCATGGAGTCCTAACCACTGGACCACCAGGGATTTCCCTAGCAGACAGTACTTTCAACAACTATCATAAATATGTTCAAAGCATGAAAAGAAACTATGTTCAAAGAATTAAAGGAAAATATGATGACAATGATTCAAAAAGGATCTCAATAAAGAAACAGAAACTATAAAAATGCACCAAATGGAAAGTCTAGAGTTGAAAAGTATCATAAAAGGATGAAAAATTCACTACATGGGCTCAAAGCAGATTTGAGGCAGCTGAAGAAACAATCAGTGCATTTGAAGACAGGTTAAATAAATTATTGAATCTGAAGAACAAAGGAAAAAGCTAGAAGAAAAATGAGCAGAGCCTTAGAGACTCATGGGGACAAGATCATGCTTCCCAACATATATGTAATGGGGGTCCCAGAAGGAGAGCAGAGAGAGAAAGTGGCAAAAAAAACTGTTGAGGAAACAATGACCAAATTTTCCCAAATTTGATGAAAAAACAATAATTTACCAATCCAAGAAACTCAACAAACTCCAAATCTGATAAACACCTAGACACATCAAAATCAAACGGTCAAAATTGACAAGAGAAAAAGGGTTCATTATATAGAGGGGACTGACAGTGCATTAATGGCTGACTTCTCATTAGAAGCAAGGCATCAGAAGGCAGTGGAATGACTGACGATCAGGATTCCTATGTCCAGTCAACCAATCTTCAGAAATGGGGCAAAATAAAGACATTCCCATTAAAGTAAAACTGAGATAATTGTTAACAGATCTGTCTTACAAGAAAAATTAAAGGAAATCCTTCTGGCTGAAAGGACATCACACCAGACAGCAACTCAAATCCACAGAAAAAGATGAAGACTGCCAGAAAATAGTAAATAAATAAATAAATAAATAAATAAATAAATATATACACACACATATACAAACATACACATATACATATATACATATTCTTGTCTTCTTTTAATTTCTTTTTTAAAAAAACCATAAGATTGTTTAAAACAATAATTATACCCCTGTAGTATTAGCTTTACAATGTATGACAAAAATAGAAGAAAAAATGAGGAAGAAATAGAGCTATATTGGAACAAAGTTGCTATATTTTACTAGAATTAAGTTAGTATTTACCTGATATAGATTGTGATAAGTTGTATGTGGTAGTCACTAGAGCAACCACTAATAACCTAACACGGTTAAATGGTACACTAAAAGTATAGAACAGAGTTTAACACAAAAGGTAGAAGAGAGGAACAAAAAAAGATGAGACATTTAGAAAACAAACAAATGGCAACCAGAAATCCAAGAAAGTCTGAATTTACACCCAGTGGAAGAATGGATCAGCAGCACTGACTGAAAAGGACCATTGTCCATAGACCTTTTTCACAAAAAACAACTATTCTGACTTCTAAAAAGTCAACACTCATACAATAAATAAAGGATGGCGGTGGTCAGAATTGGAGCAGTTTTGCCTTGGACATCTGGCTTTCCTTCATTCAGTCAAAAGTCCTGAGGATGAAGAAGGGAGCACTTCAGAGCAAGCCCCTGCGTCACCATGAATCTGGGGACTTCCCTGGCGGTCCAGTGGTTAAGACTCCATGCTTCCAATACAGGGGGCATGGGTTCGATCCCTGGTCAGGGAACTAAGATTCTGCATGCCGCATGGCCAAAAAACCAAAACCAAACAAACAAATGAAAAAACACAGTGAATCTGACTGTGGCTGACATTGCCCAAAACAGGGTCACTGGGGATATCTTGACAGTGACTTTTGGCCATTCCTTGAGGACATCACCAGTCACCACCAAGAAGCTCTTTTCCCTGGAAGCTGCCAAAATGCTTCAGATCTTGTCTTTCTGGAAGAGACAGGGGAGCCCAGGCACTTGGTGGCAAAGAACTGCCAGATGGTCTCCCCCAGCACAAGTGGGGCACGGGTGGGCTGCCTCCTTGCCCTTGCGGCTCTGCCCAATCAGCCAGTTTACAAAATAGCTGGATTAGCGGGGATAGTTCTGGATGGACGGCCCTTCTCCATTAGGTGAACTGCTCTGTGTTTCTCCTGCAGGTCAAGGATGATGCTGAAAATACTTACTACAGCAACTTCATTTCTCACTTGAAGAGCATCAGGTATCCAGGTAAGGGAAACCGACAGCGGCTGCATGAGGGCAGAGGAATGAGTGTGAGTGTGATGGGGGGCAGGGGAGCAGGGAAGAGTGTCGCTGGTGGAGAGGGTGGCAGATAAGCCTGCCAGGGGACGCTCCCCTCCCTGTGCAGGGTCTCTGGTTCCAGCAGTTCCCAAGGTTGGCTCAGGCTGTGCACACCTCTGAGAAACCCGTTCATAAACTCTACCTGTCAATTGCCACAGTTGGAACTTCTGGATGGCCAGAGTTCCACTAATGAGGGATATCTTCATTTAAGTGACTCTCCCCTCTGGCCCCAGCTGGTAGTAATGATCCTGGTCTCTAGAGAGAGATGACCTCCTTGGCTTCAAGCTGAGCAGAATCTCAAGAGTGAAGCCTCTTGTCACGGTGCCTGTACACACAGACACAGGGCTGCTCTCCCTTATCTCTGCCGCCAGAAGGCAGGGTTCTTGTCAGAGTGTCTGCCCACTCCCATGGCCAACCCTTGACCTTGAGCAGTAACCAGGTCTGTTGCAGCCTTGGCTGTGTGCATCTCGCGTTGGCCACATCTCCCAGACTCCAGGCCCCTGACCTCAGTCCTCACCCCCTCCAGCAATCTGCTGACCTCCTATCCATGGACCTCCACATTCTCACTACTAGTCACGCCTCATGCCTCTCATCTCTCTAGCTTGGATTCCACGGGCCATACTTCTGACACGCCCACTCAAATGCCCTCCATCCTTCCACAAGCTCACCTGGCAAAGCCCCAGACTAACTCCCACTTGCTCACAGCCTGTAGCCAAATGGCTGAATGTAGCCAGAGAGAAGCACACAGATTTCTAGCTTCATTCACGGCGACAAATATACACAAGTACTAACACTGCTCAGAAATCCTGAAATACTACTCTAGACATTTGCTTTTCCCCTCTCCAAAATTACTGCATCATATTTTCTCCTCTCTCCCAAAGCCCCTCCTTTCTGGCCCCAGCTTCTCCCTTGGAGGTGATGCCTGGCCTCCCACTCCATGGAGAAGGTAGTCAGAAACTCACTCATCTTAACCTGTCTGCGTCTGACCAAACTCCATGTTCCCTCCTCTGTTACACTGGATGAGAGGTCCCTGCTCTGGTCCAGGACCAGCCTTCCATGTGGGCACTGACCCCCCCATTCTCAGGGCCTTTTCTCCTGCCCGTCTCCCCTCTCTCCTGCATCTCACCCTTCACCCGATCACTCCACTCGACACAAAGCACAGTGCTCTCGTTTCTTCCATTTCAAAACACAAACTCCATCTCTTGACCCCCATCATTCCCTCAGCTTCCACCCCATTCTCATCTCCCCTTGAAAGAGTTGTCTACTGTCCTGTTCTCTTTGCTCACTCACCCTGAGCCTTCAAGGTCATCCTGGTTGTCAGATCTCCTGGGCACTTTTCTCTTCTCTTGCTCCACCTCCAAACAGTGATGCATTACACGCGGCTTGCATTCTGGCCAAAGCCCGCCCCCACCCCCAGCACTACTCTCTTGCTCTCTCTTCCTGGCTCCTGCCTTAATGTCAGAGGGTGCCAGGACTCTGACTTCTCTCGGTGACCTCATTTTCAGTCCTATGGCCTGAAATGTCATCTTTAGGCTGTGGACTCCAAAAATCTCTATCTGGTCCTCCAGGCAACAACAGCACCAGGCAGGACAGGTGAGGCAAAGTAGAGGCAAGAACTGTCTAGTTCATCTACTGACCATGAACAAAGCCAGCAGGAGACACCACAGGCCTGTGGTATAACTAAGGAGTTGCCTTGAATTCACTGACCTCAGATATTCTATTTCTACTAACTGATCCTGATATATTTCCTTCTCCAATTCAATAAATTCCACTGCTGATCAATACTGCCCACAACACTGGCCTCTCTCTGAACTTTGGATTCCTTTACCCAACTGTTTAGTTGATGTTGTCCGATGGATCTAGAATTTAACATGGTCAAAGCATCACTTATTCCCATCCCTTTCCAGGCTTGTCCCTAAACCGACTTCCTGATTTCAGCAAAGAGCATCCTCATCTATCCCCTTGTTTAAGCCAAAAATCCCAAAATTTTTCTGGACTTCCCTCTTCTCATTCCCCACCCTGCCCTGCCACACCCAAACCATCAGTGGGCCCTGTTGTTTTTACCTCCCTGCTTCCAATTCTTTGGGGTATATTCCCAGAAGTGGAATTTCTGGATCATACGGTAATTCTATGTTTAATTTTTAAAGGAACCACCATATTATTTTCCACAGTGGCTCATCATGGTTCTGGAATTCTTCACTGACTTGAACGTATTGGAGTTATGAAACAAAATCTATGCAATAGAGTCCTTTAGAAGGTTATATCTTGAAATCTATCCAATAAAAACAAAACTTAGGGCTTCCCTGCTGGCACACTGGTTGAGAGTCCGCCTGCCGATGCAGGGGACACGGGTTCGTGCCCTGGTCCGGGAAGATCCCACATGCCGCGGAGCGGCTGGGCCCGTGAGCCATGGCCGCTGAGCCTGCGCGTCCGGAGCCTGTGCTCTGCAACGGGAGAGGCCACAGCAGTGAGAGGCCCGCGTACCGCAAAAAACAAAAACAAACAAAACTTAGAAATCTTTTACTTATTCATGGGATTATGCACTACTACACTTCACATGCTTGGTTAAAGAAACCTTTTATGTATAGATCAAAATGATATCGTCTTTGCCATTGAAAAATGCAAAAGTGCTCAGGGAAGGTGAAGCAAAAGTCAACTCAACTCCGTGTTGCTTTGATAGAGTCTCTTGCTGAGTTCAGGGACTCAGCGTCACTGACATGAACAAAAGAGGAATTCTCTAGATGCAGCGATAAATGTGGGTGCCGTGGAGGCTTCGGATGCCCTGTGGGTGTCCCCCTCTCTACACCTCACCTGTGGCTGAGCTTGGTTGCCAATGCGCATGGCAGGAAGTGCTCGTGGCCTGATGCCTGCACCTGGACTCCTGCTTAGTTCTGATTCTGCCTTTCTAATCTCTATCCCTCCCCTTCATTTACAGATGAGCACAACTCAAGGAATTTTGTTCTTTCTTTGAGAGCACTTACCCACAAGCCCCTAGGAGTCATAATTGCTTTCATTTATCATAAAATATATCCTCTGCCTAACAATGATGATGGTGATGGCTACACCCATGAGCACTTTCCTATGTGCTGGTCCAATGCCAGCACTTTATAAACACATTCCCCTTTACCCTCACAGCAATGCTCCTGGGGGTCCCCTTTTTACAGACCCAGCCAGGGCCACTCAGCCAGGAGGAGGTATTTGAGTGGGTTTCTGCCCAAAGTCTTTGCTCTTAACACCCCCCTGGAAGCAGAACACTGGGGGATGTTTCCCAATGACCAGGTTCTATGTCCCCCTGCTTAAATCAGGAGATTTAAAGATGGTGAGATCTGAGCCAGGGCTGTCCTTGCAAGGGGTAGCAGTGGTTCCTAACATTCTTTTTTGTCCCCTTTTTTAGGACAAAGCACAGTTCTGAGGGGCCTTGATGTTCAGGACATGCTACTTGGGAACCTCCACTACTACTACAGCTACTGGGGGTCACTCACCACTCCTCCCTGTACTGAGAATGTCCACTGGTTTGTGCTGGCAGATACCGTCAAGCTCTCCAGGACACAGGTAGTGTGTAGAATCACTTTATCAAAGTCTCTCCTTTCAACGGCCTGGTTAACAAGAGCGCTCCCTAAATCTCACCTAATGCTGATACCTGGGCTCCTACAGTGTTTTCCATGTACAGGGCTGCAGTGCCTCACCTCTATTGCTAGGGGTGATCTTACTAGTGTTGTGGCAGAAATGGGCAAACAGGCATCAGGGAATCCAAGAAACCTATAGGTAATGCAACAAAAAAAAACTGGGACGTGGTCCAGGTCATAGGACAAGAGTTGCACAGTGAAGGCAAATATTTACTGAGTGCTGCTCCCATCAGGCACTGCTCTATATGAAGTAACACATTACTTCATAAATGACTCCATGCAAGAAGGATAGCTTCATATTTAGCCTTTCATCACATAAAATCCCTGTGGCTCTTTGAGGGGAAGAGCTGTATCAGTTGTCTTTTGTCCTTCATCATAGCATGGGTACATAATAAATATTTGTTGAGTTAAATAAAGGACAAACGTTACTGAGGTTTCAAAACAAAGCTGACATTTCCTTCTGGGTGATGTTCGTCCTCAGAAACAAATATTTCTTTTTTTAAACTTTTCATTTCCCTATTCCAGGAAAAAGGTGGAAAGACCCCAATTCTTATAACCACACAAAAAACATTGCCAACCAGGTTTGAAGTGCCCCTAGATACCTAACAAAAGCCAATGTAAACTATCTCAGGAAAAATGCACCTTAAGTCCAGATCTATAAGAATTTACATGAATAAAGTTACCTGAAATGAGCTCAATTTTTAAAAAATCACAAAATATCAGGAAAAAGGCACTATGAATGAGTGTCAGCAGAAATAGAACTACAAAGATTTCAGATATAGTAATTATCAGTCAGTTAATATAAAATATGTTTAATATGCATAAATAATGCATAATATGTAAAATTAAACATATTTAGTATGTTTAATATATATAGGAGTTTTAAATATGAGGAAAGAACAAAGTATAAAAATGACGAAGTAAACTCAAAGAAGAAAAAAAAAACCAAATGGGTTGTTAATTTCTAGAAATGAAAAGATAGTAATGAAATTAACAACCCAACAAATGGGTTTAATAGCATGTTAGACACAGTTCAAGAAAGAATTAGTAAACTGGAAGACAGAGCTGACAAAATTATGTAAAATGCAGCACAAAGAGAAAAAGAGATGGAAATATGAAAAAGAAGTAAAGAGATATAGAGAACATACTAGAAAGGTCCAACAAATGTCTGGTTGAAATTTAGAGGGAGAAGAGAGGTAGCATAGAGAAGAGGGACAATTTGAGAAATATTGGCTGACAATTTTCCAGAGAATTGAAAGATACCATGTCATATATGAAGGAAGCCCAACGAGTCAATGAAAACAAAAAGAAGCCCACACTAAACCATCACAGTGAAACCACAAAATATCAAAGACAAAGAGAAGATTTAAAAATCAACCAGAGAGAAAAGACAGATTTTCATGAAAAAAATACTATAGACCAAGAGTAGATTCAACACAGCAACAATGAAAGTCAGAAAGCAGTGGAACCATATTTTCAAAGAACTGAGGGAAATGAATAGCTAACCTAGAGTTGTACAGGCAGCAAAAATATCTCTCAGGAATATAGACAAGGGACTTCCCTGCTGGTGCAGTGAATAAGACTCTGCACTCCCAATGCAGGGGGCCCAGGTTTGATCCCTGGTCAGGGAACTAGATCCCACATGCATGCTGTAACTGAGAGTTCACGTGCTGCAACTAAGGAGCCAGCAAGCCACAACTAAGGAGACTGCAAGCCATAACTAAGGAGTTGGTGAGCCGCAACTAAGGAGCCCATGTGCTGAAACAAAGGAGCTAGTGAACTGCAACTAAGGAGCCCACCTGCTGCAACTAAGGAGCGCACATGCTGCAACTAAGGAGCCTGTGAGCTGCAACCAAGGATCCTGCGAGGTGCAACTAAGGAGCCCTCTTGCTGTGACTAAGGAGCACACATGCTGCAACTAAGGAGCCAGTGAGCCACAACTAAGGAGACCGTGAGCTGCAACTAAGTAGCCGGTGAGCTGCAACTAAGAAGCTGGCGAGGGCTTCCCTGGTGGCGCAGTGGTTGAGAGTCCGCCTGCCGATGCAGGGGACATGGGTTTGTGCCCTGGTCCGGGAAGATCCCACATGCTGCAGAGCGGCTGGGCCCGTGAGCCATGGCCACTGAGCCTGTGTGTCCAGAGCCTGTGCTCCTCAATGGGAGAAGCCACAACAGTGAGAGGCCTGCGTACCGAAAAAAAAAAAGAAGCTGGCGAGCCACAAGTAAGGAGCCCACATGCTGCAACTAAGGAGCCTGCCTGCTGCAACTAAGGATTGCATGTGCTGCAACTAAGGAGCTGGCAAGCCACAACTAAGGAGTGAGTGAGCCACAACTAAGGAGCCTGCCTGCCGCAACTAAGACCCGGAGCAACAAAATAAATAAATAAATAAATGTTAACCAAAAAAGAATGTAGACAAAATACAGACATTTTCAGAAAAAACAAAAATTGAGCTTGCTGCTTGGTATGTCTCTGTTTACTTCTTCCTCTCCTTTCTACTATTGACTAAACACTCATAGAAAAAGATTAAAAGAGATTGTTGGAGAAACGAATGGGTGGATTAATGGCCTGGCACACAGCACGCAGAACCACTTCTGGAATTGAGATCTTCTCACAACCGCTTTATCAGGGTTATATAAATCCAAGCTCTAGTTCAGTTGCTAGCTAAATTTAAAAACTCACCCAGTGCCTCTCCTCTCCTTAATTCCCTTCACGTTTCCTGCAGGTTTGGAAGCTGGAGAATTCCTTACTGAATCACCAGAACAAGACCATCCACAATGATTACCGTGGGACCCAGACCCTGAACAACAGAGTGGTAGAAGCCAACTTCATGTCTCAACTTAATCAGTGTGAGTGAGATCAACTCTTGTTTGTTCTTTGCAAGTTGCAATTATAATTTCCTGTTTTCCTGCTTCTCTGGGTGGACCCATCTCTTCTGGCAATAGTAAGGGAAGGAAAAGGGACTTCCCTGGTTGTCCAGTGGTTAAGACTCCATGCTCCCAATGCAGGGGGCATGGGTTCGATCCCTGGTCGGGGAACAAAGATCTCTCATGCCACACGGCATGGCCTAAAAAAAAAAAATAGTAAAGGAAGGAGAGTTATCTAAACAACAGGAGGCTCAGGGCTGTACAGGACTTTGGCAAAGGGGGTGACTCATTTTCCCAGTCCAGACAGTGGTACCAGTGAGTAAAACAGAGGGGACGATGAGTATGAGAAGCTACATGATTTATAACCCACCTAGTCTTGGCCAGAGACAGTAGGAGAAGCAAGATATCAAGCAACATCCAGATACTCCCATAAGAGTTTTGGCTCAAGTTAATCTTATCAAATCCAACTCAGATATTTCACACTTCTATCTTGGTCTCTATTACAAACCCATCCACAGCTCCTCCTATAAATTCCCTCAAGGTGGGGTTAACTAGACCACAATTGTCTACTCCCTTTTCTTGGGGATCAAGCTGCAGACACCAGGGTGCTGGAGGTAGGCATGAGGACCTCCAAAGTTCTGAACTTTTCCTATTCACTCTTCTTTTTATAGGCTCTGAGCTCCAGTTTTATCCAAACAATATTGACAGTAACCTTGAGTACTCGAGAAGGTTTACTGAACAGAAGAAAGCAAAGAGAAAAAGACAAGGGTAATGACCTTGAAGAGTGAGCCCTGCCTTGTCTCCAAGAAGCCCTGTATGTCTGGATCACACCATTCCCACTGAGGCACCTGTTTAATTTATGATTAAAACAGGAGAAACCACCATCCATGAAAGGAAGTGAGATGGCATAAATATATGAGAAGGGACTTGAGTTAGACAACGTCAATGGGAATTGACTGGAATAGAAATCTAAAGGAGATGGAGACCTAACTATCCTCCTCTCGAATCACACACATTGATATGCCTAAATTACAAATCAGCCCAAACATCCCTATAGCATTTAGATGAAATAAAGTAACTTTGGAAATGTGTTACTTAGTTTTCTCTTTTCTATGCCTTTGTACCACTTCAAATATCCCTTCTTTGCTCTATCCTGAGAGACCCAGGTGATGGGGTAGAAATCAAGGTGGGAGGGATTTCCAGGACGAAGATTAAGAAAAAGGAAAGAGACCTGGGAATTCCCTGGCGGTCCGGGGGTTAGGACTTGGTGCTTTCCTCTTACGTTAGGAACGTGTGGGTGGAGACGTTTGGAGCAGTGATCGTGCCCAGTGAGTCAGAGAGAGACAGAAGAGGGAGGAGGTGGGCTCCCGGGAGAGGAGGTGGGGGTGGGGGCTGGGGGGAGGGGTAAGGGCTTCCCTGAGGTCGTTTCCTTGTTGGTCCGATGGTGTCTGCTGTCACTAGTCCTGCGTTCAAGTGCTAGTTCTGCCATTACTAGTCACATGGGATAATAAAATTACCTGTCTTTTAGGGCTGTGGTTTTGAGTAAGTAAGACAAGCCTGGGGAGCAGCCCGCAGAGTGACTGCTAACCTTTACCGGCCAGTTACCATCCTCTTCACGGAGGACCTTCCTCGTCCATCTTCAGCTTCCTGCTCATCTCCGACTGAGCTCACCCTCATTCTTCTGAATCCCTTTATCTGCTCTCATTACTATCTTTGTTCTTCCATGTCGTTATTCATCGTATCCAAAGCACTTTCATATCTGACTTCACATCCTGCCTGCCAGGAAGCAGGGGGTCAGCGCTGACCCTCCCTGGTTAGCTAGCTGCCTGCCACGTGCACCATGCTCCAGGTTCCCGTACAAGTTTCAGGAATTTTGTGTCTTCTCCATTGAAGAGGAAGGGTAGCGGGGGGGTGGATGGGGTCCTGGTCTGGTGCTAGGAGAGAGGGGGTCGCATCCTCCATAGGGCCCTGGTGTTCTAATCCTGTACCACACCGGGAGCGTGGTACAGGGGTGGGAGGAACTCTGAACTTCCATCCTGACCCTCTCTCCCTACTTGCCTATGAGGTTGTAGTTCAGCATCTGAAGCTCAGGACTACACATTTTAAACATTTTTTACATTTTTGGATAAAGGTTGAAAAAAAGGGAAAAAGGAACCAAAATTAATTACAATGGTTACCTAAGCAGGGGGTTGGTGGGCATGGGACAGGGTGTAGGGTGGGCTGGGAAATGGACTTTTCTGGATGCACCCTGTTTGGTAGTTTTAACCTTGGAATCTTGGGTTTTAAATAGTTATAAATTTAAATTAAATTTAAAGGATTTTTAAAATCCCTAAAACTTCAGTTAACTTACAATGTAAAAACACAGTAAAATGATTGAACAATCATACACTGAGTTGGTAGCACAAACACAGAGAGAAGAGTTTTTCCTTAAACACAGTATTTTTACTATCATACCTAGCGAGGTTTAATCCTAAGGACAAGAAGAACGGATGTGTGTGTGTGTGTGTGTGTAATTACTATAATATGTTACTATATATACATAAATAATTGTGTTTATGTCAGATTAGCATGATTTTCAGCATAGGAACATAGAGATCCAAATATAAAATTTAAAAAGCTAAGTAAAAATAAGAACCTGCTGTATAAAAAATAAAATAAAATTGAAAAATTCAAAAAAAAAAAAAGCTAAGTAAAAGCCCTGTATTTGTAGATTTGAATTGGAAATATCAGTATAATTTATAAAATAATTTTCTCTTTCTAAAAGCACATATTGGGACTTCCCTGGTGGTCCAGTGGTTGAGACTCCATGCTTCCATTGCAGGGGGTGGGCGTTCCATCCCTGATCAGGGAACTAGGATCCCGCACACTGTGCTGCGTGGCCAAAAAAAGCAGGTATTTCCTCGCGTTGTGCACTCAGGTGTAGAAACAACAGTAACCCCATAGCAACGAACACCCTTATATCCAGACAGTGGCCTCTCAATGTTATTTCCCACTATCAGGAACCAGGGCTCCTTGGAGAAATGGCTGATTCCAGATCTGGGGCGAGGATATACAAGATGAACCTGGGATATCTTTTTAGGCCGGCAAACAAGAAATCTACCTAAGTGTACTGGAGTCATGCCCAGAAGACACAGGGACCGTCTTTTTTTTTTTCTTAGTTTTTGAATTTTATTTATTTTTTTATACAGAAGATTCTTATTAGTCATCAAGTATATACACATGAGTGTATACATGTCAATCCCAATCACCCAATTCAGCACACCACCATCCCCACCCCCCCGTGGCTTTCCCCCCTTGGTGTCCATACATTTGTTCTCTACATCTGTGTCTCAACTTCTGCCCTGCAAACCGGCTCATCTGTACCATTTTTCTAGGTTCCACATACATGGGTTAATATATGATATTTGTTTTTCTCTTTCTGACTTACTTCACTCTGTATGACAGTCTCTAGATCCATCCATGTCTCAGCAAATGACTCAATTTCGTTCCTTTTTATGGCTGAGTAATATTCCATTGTATATATGCACCACATCTTCTTTATCCATTCATCTGTCAATGGGCATTTAGGTTGCATGACCTGGCTATTGTAAATAGTGCTGCAATGAACATTGGGGTGCATGTGTCTTTTTGAATTATGGTTTTCTCTGGGTATATGCCCAGTAGTGGGATTGCTGGATCATACGGTAATTCTATTTTTAGTTTTTTAAGGAACCTTCATACTGTTCTCCATTGTATCAATTTACATTCCTACCAACAGTGCAAGAGGGTACCCTTTTCTCCACATCCTCTCTAGGATTTGTTGTTTGTAGATTTTCTGATGATGCTCATTCTAACTGGTGTGAGGTGATACCTCATTGTAATTTTGATTTGCATTTCTCTAATAATTAGTGATGTTGAGCAGCGTTTCATGTGCTCCTTGGCCATCTGTATGTCTACTTTGGAGAAATGTCTATTTAGGTATTCTGCCCATTTTTGGATTGGGTTGTTTGTTTCTTTAACATTGAGCTGCATGAGCTGTTTATATATTTTGGAGATTAATCCTTTGTCCGTTGATTCGTTTGCAAATATTTTCTCCCATTCTGAGGGTTGTCTTGTTTATGGTTTCCTTTGCTGTGCAAAAGCTTTTAAGTTTCATTAGGTCCCATTTGTTTACTTTTATTTTCATTACTCTAGGAGGTGGATCAAAAAAGATCTTGCTGTGATTTATGTCAAAGAGTGTTCTTCCTATGTTTTCCTCTAAGAGTTTTATAGTGTCTGGTCTTATATTTAGGTCTTGAATCCATTTTGAGTTTATTTTTGTGTATGGTGTTAGGGAGTGTTCTAATTTCATTCTTTTATATGTAGCTGTCCAGTTTTCCCAGCACCACTTACTGAAGAGACTGTCTTTTCTCCATTGTATATCCTTGCCTCCTTTGTCATAGATTAGTTGACCATAGGTGCGTGGGTTTATCTCTGGGCTTCTATCTTGTTCCATTGATCTATGATTCTGTTTTTGTGCCAGTACCATATTGTCTTGATTACTGTAGCTTTGTAGTATAGTCTGAAGTCAGGGAGTCTGATTCCTCCAGCTCCATTTTTTTCTCTCAAGGCTACTTTGGCTATCTGGGGTCTTTTGTGTTTTCATACAAATTTTAAGATGTTTTGTTCTAGTTCCATAAAAAATGCCATTGGTAATTTGTAGGGAATGCATTGAATGTGTAGATTGCTTTGGGTATTATAGTCATTTTCACATTATTGATTCTTCCAATCCAAGAATATGGTATATCTCTCCATCTGTTGGTATCATCTTTAATTTTTTTCATCAGTGTCTTATAGTTTTCTGCATACAGGTCTTTTTTCTCCCTAGGTAGGTTTATTCCTAGGTATTTTGTTCTTTCTGTTGCAATGGTAAATGGGAGTGTTTCCTTAATTTCTCTTTCAGATTTTTCATCATTAGTGTAAGGAATGCAAGAGATTTCTGTGCATTAATTTTTTTTTTTTTTTTTTTTTTTTGCGGTATGCAGGCCTCTCACTGTTGTGGCCTCTCCCGTTGCGGAGCGCAGGCTCCGGACGCGCAGGCTCAGCGGCCATGGCTCACGGGCCCAGCCGCTCCGCGGCATGTGGGATCTTCCCGGACCGGGGCATGAACGCCTGTCCCCTGCATCGGCAGGCAGACTCTCAACCACTGCGCCACCAGGGAAGCCCCTGTGCATTAATTTTGTATCCTGCAACTTTACCAAATTCATTGATCAGCTCTAGTAGTTTTCTGGTGGCATATTTAGGATTCTCTATGTATCATGTCATCTGCAAACAAGGACAGTTTTCCTTCTTCTTTTCCAATTTGTATTCCTTTTATTTCTTTTTCTTCTCTGATTGCCTTGGCTAGGACTTCCAAAACTATGTTGAATAATAGTGGTGAGAGTGGACATCCTTGTCTTTTTCCTGATCTTAGAGGAAATGCTTTCAGTTTTTCACCATTGAAAATGATGTTTGCTGTGAGTTTGTCATATATGGCCTTTATTAGGTTGAGGTAGGTTCCCTCTATGCCCACTTTCTGGAGAGTTTTTATCATAAATGGGTGTTGAATTTTGTCAAAAGCTTTTTCTGCATCTACTGAGATGATCATATGGTTTTTATTCTTCAATTTGTTAATATGGTGTATCACATTGATTGATTTACATATATTGAACAGGGATCGTCTTGAAGTGGCTTCTGGGACAACTTAAGCATCAAAAAGAATAATATCAGAAAAAGAAGAATAACTGCAATGGATTGAAACACAGCAAATATATAGAAAGACATGAACTCATAATGGTGCTTAAAAAAAGGAAGGAAAACTCATTGGCCAGGACTTCCCTGGTGGCACAGTGGTTAAGAATGGTTAAGAATCTGCCTGCCAATGCAGGGGACACGGGTTCGATCTCTGGTCTGGGAAGATCCCACATGCCGTGGAACAACTAAGCCCGTGTACCACAACTACTGAGCCTGCACTCTAGAGCCCACGTGCTGCAATTACTGAAGCCCACGCGCCTAGAGCCTGTACTCTCCAACAAGAGAAGCCACCGCAATGAGAAGCCCGTGCACCACAACAAAGAGCAGCCCCTGCTCGCCACAA